AACTCCATAATCCTGCATATTATGGTGAAACTTTTCGTAGTGGAGTTCCAACATAATATGCGGGAAGCTTACACGCAGGAGCTCCATAATCCAGCATATTATGCTGGAACTTTCCGTGTTTCAACAAAACAATGACTATTTTTCAATGACTTTGCAAACGCTGGCTGTTTTTCGGTTACGAATCTGAAAACTGATCGGGCCGTGCTATTTTGTTAGGGTGGTAATTTGAGCCCAAACCCATTTATAATTTTGCTATTTTTCTTTTCATTTCCTCCGTTGGCAGTGACATATATAAAACGTTCCGGTACAAAAGCAGAAATGACGAAGACAAGAAAGTTGTTGTGTATAAAGCACGATACTCCTCCTATTACCACTGACTCCGGCAATATCATAAAATTCTCTGCTGGTTGAAATTGTGAAAGAATCTATTGTTATTAATTAAAGAGTTTCTAACATTATCTGTGATGTAACGATGGAAGGTATATTTTACAAAAGGCACGAAATACGCTTAAAAAATTGCAAAAATGGTGTGATCTTGCAAAATACAGAGTGATGCACCGCACCAAATATCAACTTAAAAATGATCAAGAAGAAAACATAGACTTTTATTAAATTAAATTTTGCGTAGCGTGAGAAAATTAAATTAGTCTATAACAATATAAATTGATGAAGAATTTTGATTGGTTAGAACAAGAACATACTTCTACACGATGATAAAAGTCACCGCGGACTTGTTCTTGCCTAGATTATGCAACCAAACTTACAATAAACAGCTTCAGTTTAGTCAACTTGACTTTTTCCTTCTTTTTGTTTGTTAATTTATTCTCTTTACTGCTTCTGTCTATATATCTCATTCTCCAGCTTTAGTTTCTTCAAATATCTTCAATATTCAATATTCAATAATACACTATCAATTGTAAACCACCTTTCTTCCAATATATTCTATACAGACACCTGAAGATGGTTGATGCCATTGTATCATTTGCTGTTCAAAAACTGGGCGATTTCCTCATACAAGAAATTGCCCTGTTCAGAAGTCTGAGAGAGGAAGTGCAGTGGCTGAGAAATGAGCTGCTATTCATGCAATCTTTCCTCAAAGATGCAGAACAAAAGCAAAATGAAGATCAAAAAGTTGAACAGTGGGTGTTTGAAATCAACTCAATTGCTAATGACGCTGTTGCTATACTCGAGATTTACACCCTCGAGTCTGATAAAGGTAGTGACCCTGGATTTGCTAGCCATCTGATGACTTGCGCTTGTATTTGTAGGAAGGAGACCAAATTCTACAAAGTCGTCAAGGAGATCCAATCCCTCAAGCAGCGAGTCATGGATCTCTCTCGCAAACGGGAGACGTATGGTATTAGAGACATCAAGAATACACGAGAAGGGCCAAGTAATCAGTCCGTTATGGTTAGAACATTGAGAAGAACTACCTCCTATATAGATGACGATCATATATTTGTTGGCTTTCGGGATGTTGTAGAAAGCTTGCTAGCTGAACTTCTCAAAGAAGAGCCTCGCCGAAGCGTCATCTCTATTTATGGTATGGGTGGTTTAGGCAAGACTACTCTTGCAAGGAACCTCTACAACTCTCCTAATGTAGTCTCTAGCTTCCAAACACGCACTTGGATATGCGTTTCTCAAGAGTACAACACCATGGATCTCCTTAGGAATATCATAAAATCCATCCAAGGTCGTACAAAGGAAAGTCTGGATTTGTTGGAAAAGATGACAGAGACGGATCTAGAAATTCACCTTCGTGACCTGTTGAAAGAACGCAAATACCTTTTGGTGGTTGATGATGTATGGCAGAGAGAGGCATGGGAAAGTTTGAAAAGAGCCTTCCCGGATAGCAAGAAAGGAAGCAGGGTGATTATTACCACACGCAAAGAGGATGTTGCTAAAAGAGCAGATGACAAAGGTTTTGTCTATAAACTTCGTTTCCTTAGCGAAGGAGAGAGTTGGAAACTTTTTTGCGGGAAACTACTTGATGTTCAGGCAATGGTCCCAGCAATGGAAAGGTTAGCTAAAGATATGGTGGACAAGTGTGGAGGCTTACCTCTTGCAATTGTTGTATTAAGCGGGCTACTTTCTCATAAAAGGGGGCGAGAAGAATGGCAAAAGGTGAAGGACCACCTTTGGCAGCATATGAAAGATGACTCTATTGAAATCTCCTATATACTCTCATTGAGCTACAACGATTTGTCAACTTCGCTCAAGCAGTGTTTTCTTTACTTTGGTATTTTTCCGGAAGATAGTATGGTCGGTGTTGAAAAGATAATGTGGTTGTGGATGGCCGAAGGATTCATACCAAGAGGAGAAGAAAGAATGGAGGATGTTGCTGAATGCTTCCTAAATGAGCTTATAAGACGAAGCTTGATTCAAGTCGTAGATACATTTTGGGAAAAAGTTATTAAATGCAAGATCCATGATCTAGTTCGGGATCTTGCCGTACAAAAGGCATTGGAGGTGAACTTTTTTGACATTTATGATCGAAGAAAGCACTCCATATCCTCCTTATCTCTCAGACATGTCATTCATGGCCAAGCACAAAGGTATCTCTCACTTGATTTCTCCAACTTGAAATTAAGGTCAATTATGTTTCTAGATCGAGATTTTGGTAAGCTGGATCTTTTAAAGTTTCGTAATGTGTTCCAACATTTATATGTGTTGAACTTGGATCTGACGATTTGTCATGGCACTAAACTACCTGATGCCATAGGAAGTTTGTACCACCTCAAGTTCTTAAGCTTGATAGCTCCCGATCCGATTAATCTCCCCTCCTCCATTGGCAATCTCAAGAATTTACAGACACTCATCAATCTCTTTGACAATGGAAGTGGTTCAAAAGCCTACGGCTCACTACCTCCCGAGACATCTAACCTAATTAAGCTGAGACATTTAATTGCTTTCTATTCACAACCTCTGCAACTTAGCAAACTCACTAGTCTTCAAGTTCTTAAATACATTTGTTGTGATCAGTGGAAAGATTTTGACCCTGTTGGTTTAGTCAATCTTGGAGAATTAGACATGCGTAATATTAAGAAATCTTACTCCTTAAATAACATTAGCAGCTTGAAAAACCTTAGCACTCTCATATTGGGTTGTGCAAGTGGTGAATCATTCCCAGCCCTTGAATATCTTACTTCTTGTCAAAACCTCCGCGAATTGTGGTTAGATGGGAGAATAGAAAAACTGCATCAGTTTCCAAATTCTATCACAATGGTGGTCCTTTTGTATTCGAAACTCATTGAAGATCCGATGCCTATGCTGGGAATGTTGCCAAACCTAAGGAATCTCGATCTAGTAGAAGCTTACGAAGGAAAAGAAATAACTTGCAAAGGTAACAGCTTCAGTCAACTGGAGTTCCTTCGTCTTGATAGTCTTTGGAACTTAGAAAGATGGCATTTAGCCACAAGTGCTATGCCTCTGATTAAAGGCTTTGGTATCCATGACTGTCCAAAGCTGAAGGAGATTCCCAAGAGAATGAAAGACGTTGCTAACCTGGAGAGGTTGAAGTCAATTCCGGTTGAGGTATATTTTACTTACAAATAAATTCTTATCCATAATAACCATACAATTTAATGAATAAAAATGATCCAACAAGATGTTTTTACGTGCTAATTAAGATTAATGTAGTTGGAGCAACTAATATGAAGGTAAAAATTAAGATAGTTTTACGGAGAAAGTCATTTTCCCCATTTTGTTGGAAAATGTTCCGATAGGCAAACACTAGAAAATGACTCCCAGTGAAAAACATTTTGTGAAAAAGTAACCCGAGTTTTATTGGCAATCCTTTTTTTTTTTTGGTAATCAGTTTTATTGGCAAAATATTATTTGGTTGACACTTGATACTATCATAATAACGATTATAATGAGTCATTTTAGGTAATTCATAATTTTTTTGTATTTTCTTGAATACTAATTATGAATATTAAATAGCTTTGGATTTAGGTGAAACTGGAGAAGCAGCAGTTAATGGAAAATAAAAAGGCAGATGCGGACTTGACGCAATGGTTATTTAGATAATAAATAAAAGGAAGATGCGGAATTTTTGCCACGTTACAGAGTATTTCAGCGCTGTCAATGAGAGCTTATCTCAACTTTCAGTGTTCTCTGCTTAGTTTCTTTTTGGGTGCTTGAAATTGGTTTGAAGACAATTGTTTTTGAGATTGTACTCGAAAAATTATTTTCTATTGTTTTAAACTTTTAATTGTTCAACTGTTATCTTGCTTATCCACATTTAAGGCAAGGCATTCTGTAATATATTTCAACATCTGTATATTCTGGAGTTAGAGAACATCTATTTTGCCAACATATTTGAACTCTCATCCTCAGTTGGTGGACTCAAACGCCTACAAGTCACAAACAAGCTTGATCCAGAGCTCAAGCAGATTAGCTTGATTAGTTTGATTAACTTACGAAATTAAATTTAGCTGCTCGATATGGAGAAACTCTGCAAGTCGGCAAACTCACAAATCGGCAAACTCTTAAATATATTTATTATGATCAGAGGAAAAGTGTTAATGGTTTTGGCAGAGGCGGGGCCAAGATTTCAAGCTTATGGGTTCAAGATACTAATCCTTTTAAGTTATTGGATTCTAAGTTAATATTTTTTACATATTCAATGAATTTTTAAGATAAATATAAGGTTTGAACCAAAGCTACTGGGTTCGGCCGAACCTGTTTCCGGCACTCTAGCTCTGCCCTTGGGTGTTTGTTTGGTCAATCCTCAAGAACTAGTTGTGGAAGTATTTGGAAATCTTACTCCTTAAAAACCATTAGCGACTTGAAAATTCTTAGCACTCTAATGCTATGTTGTAAATCTTGGGGAATATTTCCAACCCCTGAACCACTTTCTTCTTGTCAATACCAAACTAGTAAAAGGAAAAGCTCTAAACCTAAGCTATAAAAAACCAGCCTACTTGGATGGAGAATATCACCCTCCTACAATAGGGGAAACATTTCTGCATTTCTGAACATAACATTTAGATCATAAGTTCAGATAAATATACCATGACATATATATAGCGACTCACCTTGGAGTCCAATCTCATCACAAGTCACAATCCAAAAGTTAATATGCAGTTAACATCAGCTTAATGTAACTCAATGAAATAGGCAAAAAATTACTATAGTAATCTCAAATAGGATAAGTTCGTATCATATCAACAATCTCGTAAGACATACTTTGTACATATTTCAAGTATCAACTTACGAATCTCAAACTTGTCCCAACATACCAAAGTATATCAGATGCATATATCTTTACAGAAAAACTCAATTCTGTCGAACATAGAAGTTCAATTAAGAATTAAATTTCCAAATCATGCTCTTTATGGGAAAAAAAATTCATAGTTCAAGTCATCACTCACCTCCAGATGCCAATTACTCAAGTTCAACTTCTGATCAACCATGTTACTCAATTCGTCAACAAATCTATAAAGCAACCAATAGTTTAGAGTTACAATCTATCAACTTCAACTTTTTAATTAATTCAAGTAATGGAAAGGCACAATGCACATTACCTAAAGTATTGGCTAACACAAGGTTCCCTCAATTATGCTTTTCATAGTTGTTCTCAACCAATTCCTTAGAATTTCTGCAAATCCAATCCACAGGTCAATCATCAATAGATCAATTTAATCATAATAATTATTACCCAAGGTTACCCATATCAATTAGACACCAAAATACAATAAATATGCCTTAAAATCCAATATCGAAGAGTTTGGCTCAGCGGTGAACTGGTTGTAAACCTTGAGGACTAGAGTTCAAACCTTAGCAGAGACCAAAACACTAGGAGTACGACACTTCTTCTTTTTTCACACTTTCCATAAAGAATTTAACCTATATCCAATCGACAGTGTAAAAGTTTTACACTATCAAATGTACTGATACTGCAGAACTTTTATAGATATTTTAAATTATCTTTTAAATGAACTGATATTGTAGAAATTTTCTTGCACTGTCTGTGCTCTCTGATGAATACATGTGCAGGGCAAACTAGTAGGGTATATTACCAATTAGTTTCCTTTTTTCATTTATCACTTTTCTATAGGATTTCTGAAAACAATTGTGCAACAAATGCATAGTTTGTTGATCATATGTTCCAGCGCCAATACATCTCAAAGATTTAAAGTTCAGCACCAGAAATGGCCTCATATACCTTACTTGGCCATTGCACCTCTCTACTTCAAATTCGAATTTTATTCCCTATCAACAAAAATCTTGGCCGTGGCGCCACTCCACTTCAACCACATTGATAATCTACAGAACTTTCTACCCCTTTTCAGCTGGCAAATCTCATTCTTCTCCAAAATGCTGTAACTAAGTTGACAACTACCTAAACACAAATAATAAAGTAATAGAAGAACTCATTCCTGAGACTGAGAGGGGGCAAAGAATTAAGGAATTAAATTAACCTCCCCCCCACCCACCAAAAAAAACACAAAAATAATAAGAATAACATGATCAGAGTACAGTACAAGTATCAACTCAGGTAATTTTAGTGTGAATATATTTCAATTTCATGACTCATAAAAACAAAATTAACATATTTAGAGACAACATAAAAAGCACTAATAGTGATCCCAATTTTTAACAGCTAAAAATTGATAAGAATGTATTATCAGAACAGTTTAACTTTGTGAATAGTAATAGAAGCACCCAATTCAGTGACAAAGGGAGTACCTTTTTTTGAAGAATTACAAGGAAGATTAGCTGAAGAAGAACAGTAAATGTCTTGGAACCTTCCTTTCATTTTCGTCAAATGGAAAAATAAACAGTTTAGACTTTATTCTTTTTTAGATTCGGAAGGTTATTGGGTTCCCAGATCAGAGCATTGGAGTTGAGATTGAGATTTGAGAGTGAAATTGAGGGGGAGGAAATTTTATGTAGCTATACGTCGAAATTTTTCTTTCTTAAACTGCAAAATCATTTCATAGTGTATGATTGTTAATTGTAACATACACCATTATTTATCGTAATTTGAAGTTAATGATAATACTTACATTGTATAATTAATTTTTAAAGTAGCTTAATCATAAAAATATCTATTTGTTTACTGATGCAGAAAACTTAGATTTAATATAATAACTAGGGCGAAAATATTAGAATGTTCTCACGCTATTTATATACGTATGTCATACATTTCTTAGCATAATATGTATTCATTTCGTTCACTTTTACTTGTTCATTATAGCAAATCAAGAGAAAGATAAATTTTTGTTTCTTGTTCTACCATCGTCATTAATTACTCAATCCCCAAATCATCTCTCAATACGTTTTGAAATTTTATCATTATTATGAGTAAAATTATAAAATACATACTTCATTTATCATTTCTTAAACAGAGTGCAAAGTTAAAAATTAAAAGTGTACAACTAAAATTAAATCTACGTAATATTATTCTGCAGCTAAAGTCAAAATCAACGGCTTTCGTTACTTCTATTTGATTTTTGTTATTAATTTTATATGTTCTGCTTCTGTGTCTATATCTCTTTCTTCCGTTTTCAAATTTGTATTCCAGTATCTTCTGCACATCCCTCTTTATCCAGCTCTAATTAGAGTAAAAACCACGACTCGTGAAGATGGTTAATGAACTTTGTATGATTTGCAGTTGAAAAACTGCAAATGAAGCAAGTTGAAGATCAAAGAGTACAACATTGAATATTTGAAATCAACTATGTTGCTAATGACGTTGTTCGTCTAGAATTTTAGGCGAACATTAAAGAAATGATAAAGCAAACTTTTTCTTCGTGGACAACTCCCAACTGCGATGAACACACTAAAGAGCATAACTTTTTATAAGTGCTTTCAATATCAGGAGTTGCTTTGAGCTCACCAGACGGACGCTCTCTTCGACACCTCTTCATTTTACAATCAAGATTGCATCAATCTCACAAACTCCCAAAACATTCGCTTTTGGCCCTTCTACTTTCATTTTCCTAAAAGCTGCCAATGCCTTAGCATATTCCCCTTCCATAAAATACCCATCAATTAACGAGCTCCACGACACACATCTTTGTTGAGCATTAAATCAAACACCTTTCTCGTCAAAATCACATACCCACATTTCTCAATTCCACCCAACATAGACTTCCAGGACACTAAGTTCCTCACAGACATTTCGTCAAACATCTTCAAGGCACACAATATGAATCGAGGTATTCAAAACATACCGCTACCAGTTTTAAGGAACCTGGATATATCTAATGTGATCCTGGGCAACGTGTTTTGCAACACTTCAACAAATAAAGACAAAGATTTACATGGATAGTCCGTTTGATGATCTTCAGTTCGTAGAAAATATTATGAGCATAATCGTGACTCAATAAAACTGGTAAAATTTAATAATAGCAACTTTTAAATAACGTTTCCTATATAAATTTTATTTTTCTTGCCTTTTGAGATTTAAAATTGCAATTATTTATATATATAAGCTGCTCTTTTTCCATCACCATCAACTTGAAAATTTGACGGAGAGTATTTATGACCAAAAAGGTTAACAAAGCGTATTTGTCAATTATTTTCAATACGTTAGTTGTATTTTTGGCTCGTAGAATTATTACCAATAAGTTCTGGAGCTCAAACTTTTAGGATTATATATATATATCCAATGCGAATTGCCTTAGCCAGTTTGACAGAGCTTGCATTACTTTAGGCTCTTGTTTGAGGCAAATTTAAAAAATAGTCATCTTATAATTGAAAAATAATCACAGTTTCAAAATAATCAATATTTAACCCCTTTTTCATCTAAAGATAAAATCTGAAAAAAAAATATTATTAAACAAAATTAACATATTTAGAGATAACATAAAAATCACAATTAGTGATCCTATTTTTTAACAGTTAAAAAATTGATTACTATTACTTTGTGAATAGTAATAGAGGCACCCAATTCAGAGACAAAGAGAGTACCTTTTTTGATGAATTACGAGGAAGGTTAGCTGAAGAAGAGCAGTAAATGTCTTGTCTTGGAACCTTGCTTTCATTTTCTTCATCATTATTATCTCTTCAACTATAATTACAAAAAAAAATTTAATAATAATAATAAACTAGATTCTAACGCTGTTGAGAGACGAAGGTAAGGGAAGAGAAAAATACTTTTTCAGCATTCCAGTAAACAGTTTAGACTCTATTCTTTTTCAAATTCGGATGGTTATTGAGTTCCCAGATCAGAGCAACAGAGGATGCCGGCGGTGGAAGTACTTCAGCTTCTGGTTGAGAGATGGAGAGTGAAATTGAGGGATTTACATATGTTTGTAGAGAAATGGAAAAACGAGGGGAAGGTGGCGGGTAAATTTTATGTAATTATACATCGCATAAATTGTATGCGACCTCCTTTCATTTGCATTTTCTTTTTGGGTCAGTATCACTTTTACCCCGCGCCAAAAACTTTTTATATTTGGTAGTCGAAAAAATATATAAAATTTATATAACTTTTATATATAACATACCAAACGTATATATATATATATATATATATATATATATATATATAAAA